TTACAAATACAAGACTTAAATGCGACAGCAAAAAGAGTCTACAATTAGTCGCAAGAAAACCAATAGTCATTTGCGAGTACTTTGGGACCACGGTTCTTTTTTCCGCCGACGCACAAAACTAGTTGCATTTTAGTCAGAAAAGAGTAATTTAGTAACTTATAACGGTGTCACATATTAGTCGCGTATTAACAACTTTTATTTATGGTCAGGAGATCGTCACAAATAGGCGACTATATTAGTTCTGATACATTTTGCGACCGTTTTTCCCAAAGTAGACCTAAAGTAGCCTTTACAAAGGTGTTTGCGACCATCTGGTGACTGTTTTTGGAATCGCAAATGCTTGTTTTCTTGTAGTGCATGCCTAGTGTTTCGAGTAAAAGGGGTCAGAACAAAAACATTAGACGTCGAGTTTGTTTTGGAATATTCGCGGTCTAAATACAAGCTCCCTGTAGTTTGATTGTCTTTTAGAGACGAGGGTCAAGGAAGTTCAGGCATCTGGTATTATGCCATTAACTTTTTAGGGTTGGTAATCTATGAAAAATTATGAATCACACCGGTTAGGCCGCATTTCGGTAGTTTGGAGAGAAAGAGCAGTCAAATGATCACTTGTTCTGTTTTGTTGGAAGGAGGAGAAAATGAATTTTTCTGTACTTTCGTTTATGCATCATTTTGCAGAGGAAAGAAAAACACTTTGGGAGGATATATGTTATCATCATGATTCACCATTGTTTAGAAATAAACCATGGATGATTTGGAGAGATTTCAATGAGATCCTTGATGGAAGTGAGCACTCAAATTTTGACAGTACACAAATCAATTATGCGGGGATGAGAGATTTCCAGGAAATTATACGACATTGTTCCATAACTAATCTTGGATATCATGGTCCCTTATTTACGTGGTGTAACAAGAGGGAGGAGGGTCTTATTTGGAAAAAAATTAGACCGTGTTTTGGTTAATGAAGTATGGTGTGATGTTTTTCCACATTTTTATAGTGTATTTGAGTCGGGTGGCTGCTCAGACCATGCTCGGGGTTGGATAAACCTTGAACCTATAGCACGAGGGGGCCGAAAGCCCTTTAAATTTGTCAATGTACTAATGAAGATTGCCGAATTTCAGTCTGTAGTAGAAGACCAGTGGACAACCACACATCCCCTTTTCCCTTCTACTTCAGCACTACATCGATTTCCGAAGAAGTTAAAGACTCTGAAACCAAGCTTGCGATCTCTAGGTAAGGAGAAACTGGGAGACCTTCTAAAGAGGACTCGTGAGGCTTATGATAATCTATGTGCCAAACAAGCTAACACATTAGCGCATCCAACGCTACAAACGATCCAAGAAGAATCTATAGCTCACACAAATTGGTAGTATCTCGCTGATTTGGAGGAAGGCTATATAAAGCAGAAATCTACGCTTCATTGGATGAATGTAGGTGATCAGAACAACCCATTCTTCCACAAAGCTGCACACATTCAGAAAATGCAAAATTCTATTCGGCAACTAAGAGGACTAAATGGCAAAATTTTGCAGACGAGTGAATGAATCGAAGAAGAGGATGAGAGATTCTTTAAGGCGTTTCTCAATACTCAACTGAGTGATTTTGTAGGTATGACACTAGAAGCTTTGAGAAATCTCATGCCATTTTGCTGCCTAGAAACAGACCAAGCAATGCTTACACAGACAGTATCAGGGGAAGAAATACCAAACGTTTTGTTTGCAATGCCAAACAACAAAGATCCAGTACCTAACGGTTACACAAGAAAATTTTTCAAGCTACTTGATCTATCGTTGGCAATGATTTTGTAGCTGTAGTTCAATCATTCTTCACCACTGGTTTTCTCCCGAAAGGATTGAAGACGACAATCTTACCATTAATACCGAAGAAAGAAGTAGCTGCTGAGATGAAAGACTATCGTCTGATCTCGTGTTGCAATGTGATTTATAAGGTCATTTCAAAAATCCTTGCAAATAGACTAAAGTGTTTATAGCCGAGATTTATTTTGCAAATCCAATAAGCTTTTGTTAAGGAAATGTTGTTGACAGAAAATGTACCGTTGGCAACAGAAATCGTCAAAGATTATCATAAAGTATCGGTTTGTCTCCGTTGTGCTATGAAGATAAACATATATAAGGATGTTGATTCAGTGCAATGGGATTTCTTGCTGAACACTCTTGCGGCACTAAATATTTTGAGTAAATTTATTCATTCGATCAAATTATATATCACCACAACCACTTTCTCTGTACAAGTGAATGGTGAGTTAGATAGGTTTTTCAACAGTTCTAGACACTACGATAATGATGTGCTCTCTCCCCTTACTTGTTTGTCAGCTACATGAATGTTATGTCACACTTAATCAACCAGGCTGCGGTAAATAGAACCATTGCCTACCATCCAAAGTGAAAAAGCATTTGTTTAACACAGTTATGCTTTGCTGATGACCTCATGGTGTTTGTTGATGGCCATGCGCGATTGGTTGAGGGTATTATACAAAAGTTTCAGGAATTTGCAAGTAAGTTTGGGCTGAAGAAAAATTTGGAGAAACCAACGGTTTACTTTGCTGGCATCTTAGATCAGATAGGAGATCATATTACTTCAAATTTTCTTTTTGAAACAGGACAACTCCCAGTTCGATACTTAGGACTGCCTCTGCTAACTAAGCGAATGACGACAACTGATTACGCACCCCTACTGGAAAAGATTAGTTGAAAAATAAGGTCATGGACTGCAAGAGCACTCTCCTATGCAGGTCGTCTCACTCTCATTAAGTTAGTTCTTGTAAGTATCACAAACTTCTGGATTTCTGCCTATTAATTACCAAACAGTTGCATAAAGGAAATTGAGAAGCTATGTGCGGCTAGTTCTGACCTCAATTCCAGATAAGCAAAGATAGCTTGGACAGAGATTTGTAAGCCGCAAAGCGAGGGAGGACTGGGAATTAAGTCACTGAGTGAAGCAAATAAAGTAAGTTCCTTGAAGTTGATATGGCAGATAACATCCAAACAAGAATCTTTGCGGGTTACATGGGTGTGGAAGTATCTAATAAGAAAAGGGTCACTTTGACCAGTTAAAGAAAGTTCTAGCTTAGGTTCATGGATGTGGAAAAAAATACTCAACTATAGAGAAAGTGCAAAAGCTATGCAAAAAGTGGAAATGAAAAGTGGCTCCTCAACATCGTTCTGGTATGATAACCAGTCACCTTTGGGCAGGTTGATTGATGAAATAGGTCCTCGTATAGCCATTGATATGGGCCTACCACTAGACGCAATGGTGGAAACGGCTCTAACCTCTCAACGACGCCGTAGACACCGAGTAGAATTTCTAAACAAGATAGAAGCCGTGATACAGAGTACTCGCCAACGGATCCAAGCAAATGAGCAAGATATCTCTATGTGGCGAGCTGAGGGAGATAAATTCAAGGCTAAATTCTCCACTAAGCACACTTGGAATAACATGAGAGTATCTTACCCTAATGTTATATGGTTCAAAGGAGTGTGGTTTTCCTACTCGACCCGTAAATATTCTTTTTTTTGTTGTTGCTTGGAATCCATAACAGATTAGCGACAGGAGACCGAATCAAGAAGTGGAACACATGGCTGCAGGTCGATTGCTTCTTGCGCAATAACACGGAGGAAACTAGGGACTATGTATTTTTCAACTGCCCATACTCCTCAGCCATTTGGAAGAACTTAGCACAACGTCTTATCACGATCAACTATTTGACAGATTGGAACCAGCTCATTGCACTGTTACACAGTACAAGCATCCCTACACTCATCCTCTTGCTACTTCGGTACAGCTTTCAATGTACCCTCTATCACATCTGGCGAGGGTACGTCACGGGGAGCATCCATCTCCAAAAGCTCGGCTAATCAAACTCATCGACAAAACAGTGCGGCATAGAATCAGCTCACTCAAAACTTCAAAGAACCTTCACTATGAGGAAGGCCTAAGGCTCTAGTTCTCCACTCGGTCAACATAACCGCGAGTACTCTGTTTTTCGTTTCACACTATCTAAAATTTTATTGTACAAAAGATTTTGGTTCAATAAAATTTTACATTCAATTCAAAAAAAAAAAAGCATTTATGTTAAGATATATGGGCTATATTAGTTGGGAGATTTACTCAAATGTCATAGAAATTAGGTGTATTTACCAGAACCATACAAAATATTATTTTACTACTATCATATTTTGGTCCTATTTTGTATACGCATCGTGCCCCTATTAAACGTTACAAGAAAAAACGTAATGACAGGGAATTCACTGCCACGTCTGCAAACCCGCGTCGCCACGTTAGAAATCGTTGACGTGTATTAATGAACTCAGCCGTAAAGCGATACAGTGGCAGTTACGGCTGAGTTACGGTATATTGCAGTTTAAGAAAAAATAGCTAAGGTAAGAGAAAACGGCTGACTTATAAGTATAACTCAGCCTATAGTTACGACAGATTTATGAAAATTGTCTGAGTGATGAGACAACCCAGCCTACGTAACGGCTGAGTTAATGAAATTTGTCTAAGTTATAAGAATCTCGAGCGTAACCCAGCCAAAGTTACGGCTGAGTTTTTACTCGACAGCTGAGTTATTTCCTCGACACGGCTGAGTTAACAATTTCTGGCTGTCTGTTAGTTATGGGATGTTGTTACCGCTGATTTATGTTTGACAGTTATAAATCAGCAGTAAAGAGCTTGATTAACTGATAACTCGGCCTTGTTATAGCTGACTTAGTAGCGAAAGATTAATTACTATAATAGCATGCAATTACGTCCGACTTATTAAACGATATGGCTGAGTTAAAGATTGTCGGTTGAGTTACAACATTAAATGGCTGAATTAACTGACCTTTTTTTATTTTTTAATAATTGTGATAGTATATATGTTGTGGCTGAGTTATAGCGTTGCTTGATGGCTAATTTATTTAGGCAAATTTACATGTTCCTTTGTTGGCGTACTTGTCACTTCATCAATTAAAAAAAATGACGTCTGATGCAACATTCCATGTCATCATCATCAAAAGAAATACGAGATGTCTTTTTTTTCAACTCGTCTTCTTCACCTGAGCTTTTCACGTGAGTTTTTGACATCACTGGAACTTCCAATTTCTCATCGTCATCCTTATTCTTCTTCAATTTCTTTCATCATTCTCGAGATATCGTTGATCTTGTTCCGATAATTGTTGTTTTTGGTATTTGCGTAAAGAAACACAAATACGTATTTAACACCGACGAAAGAGGGTGTAGAGTTGTGCAGGTAGATGCGGAAACAACGAAGGATCGCAAAGAAGGATGAAACGGCCAACAAGATATGACTCTAAAGTAAATCTAGATACGAAGTTCTCGGTGGAGGATTTGAAGGTTTCTGGGCTCAGTCATAACTAAGCCATGTCGCTGTCATCACTCGGGTAAACCACTAAGTGACTAGCCGTGTCGTGTTATTATTCTACAGCAAAACATAAAAATTTTAATTATTTTGAAAATTTTGTTTTACTTGAATTATTTTGAATATTAATTATTGGTGTGTGCATGTGAATATGTAATCTAATTATTGTTGGCGTTTTCTCAAAAAATCACTTTTTGTAATCTCAGGAATGTATGTCTTCGTAACTCAGCCATAAAACTTTGTAACTCACCCAATTTATACCCGGTGCTATACACCGGTAAAATTTATACGAAAACTAAAACCAAAAATTTACAATATATTGTGGAAGATATTAAGCAGGTTTTGAACCCAAAAAATAATAATTTAGAATTTTTTCTCTATGTTTTTGTTCTTTTTCTAATATGGTCTTATTTTCCTTTTACTTCCTCCACTAACTTGTCTTAAACTTTTAAGATTTTCTTTCTTCTTTATGTGGCTTCCTTTATTACGTTTCAATTCCCTTTTTTAAAATCCAAGCTATTGATAGAAAATTCTTTAACAAAAAAACTATTGATAGAAAATAAGAAAGATAATAGAAGTTTAGAACATGAATCGAGCCTAAAGTACTTAAAAACAAAGAAAGAGCTAACTTGTAACAACCAGAATTATTGAACTTTGGCTTATATTCTTAAACGCTGGAGTGGCTTGCTTACTCAGTGCTTCTGGAAGTGGATTGCAGCCTTTATAGAGAGAGAATTTAAGTAAATAAAGCCAAAAATGTCAAAAATCTTGAGATGACAACATACAAATTAGTAATAAAACATGATTATGAAAGATGAAGCAAATAAAAAGTAGCCACGTACAGTAACTCGAATCTCAGAAAGTTTTGGTCAAAGGTACTGATTTATGCCAATATCATGAAATAGAACCGCATTTCTTAACTCTAGCCTGGAATAATGAAGAATTGAGAGATAGACACAATCACACAAACATAATTCTTACAATATATGTTGACGAACATGAAAAATATATTGACAGATGACCTTGTCTTGTCTCAAAGAAGTAAATTCACGATCAAAAAACATTTTTTAAAATAGATTTTGAGGAAGTTACGATTTTGATTCGTTAAAAGTGGAGAATGTGGGCACATAGAAGATAAGTTTTACAGGAATATCGGATAAGTTTTACATTATGATAAATTGCCACATGCCAAAAACAATTCCCACGTTGTGTTCATTTTGTTTTGTTTTAATTATTGTAAAATAAATAAACTTTTTTTGGTAAACATAAGAGTTAAATAAATATATTTGTCGTTGAGCAAAAATTAAACTACCTTAAAAATATTTTAAAAAATAAAATTGTGAATATTAAAATTTAGAAACATGGTGAACGTGGTCACCTTAAAAATAATGGTAAAAAAAAATTCTTATAGCTATGTTCTAGCTATGAACATTTGTGGCTAATTTCACATTAACTACGAAGTAGTGACAAAAATAAAACGTGGATATTTCGTGGCTTTTAATTAACCACGAATTCTATATGTAACAATTTTGTGGCTATATTTTAGTTATGAATTAAATTTTTTACTAAGTATTGGCTATTAGCTACATAAAACTACGAATTATTTAATAGAATAAAATTTGAGTTCACTCATAGGAGTGAACCCTTTTATTCACCTCTCTTTGTAATATCCAATAAAAATTTGCTATGTCATATCATATTTAAACTAAATAATAAATTAAAATAAAATTAAGGAAACAAAAATCTTGTTATTCACTTCCATAGATTAACGTTGACGCCGTCTTCTCCTCATTTTTTTTCTTTTTCTTTTAGTTTTGTTTGTAATTAAATTTAGCAATTTTGAAAAAAAAAGACAACAAAATTTATAAAAAAAAAACAAAATCTAACGTTTTCTTCTCTTTTTATATATGAGTAAATATTTATTTTAATCAAAGATAGATTAGGAGTAGATGCTATCTCTTTTATTTCTTTTAACTCAACTTATCTTTAAAAGTTCTAAAACTTCAAAGCACGATAGATTTTTTGAAAAAAGAACAATACTTTGTTTTTAATGTTGGATAATTCCAATTACTTGAGGAGCAAGTAATCTTTCTAGAAGAGATAATAAGAAATAAGAAATACAAATAAAAGTCAAGTTGGATAAGTTTGTAAGTTTTCCTATTCATTATAGGATTATGAGTAGTCTAATATCTATAAATAAGGGCTTATGGAGAGATGTTCCATAAGACACAAGAAAGAGATTAAGAGGCTTTAGAGAGTTTTTCTAAAGACCTAGAGAGATTTAGTTTTGGGTGAGTTTTTAAATCATAATAAAGATAAGTTGTTCTTTAAGTTGTTCTGTTCTTGAATCACGTCTCGAATCATACAGAAACTAAGTCAGAGCAAGTCGGCTTTGATTTGATTTAAATCATCAACTCCAAGTAAAGTTTCATATTCTCTTATCTTCATTACAGAACTATTTCTCAAGGCTGGTTGTGAATGAATAGAGACAACTAAATATAATTGATACATGTGTGAGTTTTTATGTTAATTTTTTTATGGTTTATGTTTTTTAGACCAACTTCTTTTTTTGTTATTGAACTTGTTGATCAGGAAACGTTAAGAACAGTTGCAATGGACAGTAATCATATAAGTGAAGAATTTTTAGTCGAAGAAAAAGATGACTCAATAAGTGAAAACAAAGCTTCGGCCAATGAATTTGAAGAAGAAGATGAAATAGCTAACGACGAGGATGATGTTGTAACTGAACAGGTTGCTACTTTTGAAGCAAATAATGATAATGAGAAGAAAGATAAAATATATATATTGGAATAGAGTTCAGTTCTGATGAGATTGCATATATAACTTATACAAAGTATGGAGGAAATCGTGGTTTCAATATAAGAAAACAACGGAGGATGAAAAAAAAAGGGAAGGTAGTAAGGCTTCTTTATGTTTGCTCAAAACAAGGGTATAGGAAAGAACCCAAGGTCATAAAATCATATTCACAAGCAATCACTCGATGTTTGTAATGCTCATATGACTTGCTACCTTCAGTAGACCGGAAAATATTAGGTTGTATCATTCGAGCCGAACCACAACCCTGATTTAGTGAAACACCTATGAAGCATTTGTTGAAAGGAAATCGGGAATTATCTATCTCTCAAAAACAACATGCAGATGATATGTCAGGGATTTCAGCAAAAGCAACTGTTGAAATGATGAGTAGAGAAGTTGGGGGGCAAGAAAATCTGGGTTTTTTGAAGAAAGATTATCAAAATTACATATACCGAGAAAGAGAATGGCAAAAATGGAAAAGGGAGATGCTGGAGCTGTTTTGGAATACTTTCAGAAAAAAGGAGGGTAATTCGTCTTTTTTTTATTCAATGCAACTTGATGAGGATGATATGATCACTAATATATTCTGGGCAGATGATCGGTCAATAAGTGATTACAATCTTTTTGGAGATGTCATTTGCTTTGACACAACTTATAAGACCAATGAATATGATAGACCATTTGCTCCATTTGTCGTGGTCAATCATCACAAGCAAACAGTTGTGTTTGGTGCTGCTCTCTTATATGAGGAAACCAGTGAGTCATATAAGTGGCTTTTCGAGACTTTTCTTGGAGCAATGTCTGGAAAACAACCAAAAACAATTCTTACAGACCAATGTGCAGCAATGGCGAATGCAATAGTAAAGGTATTCCCTGATACAAAACATAGATTATGTGTTTGACATATTTACCAAAATGCTGCAAAGAAATTGAGTCATGTATTTCATTGAGCAGAATAATTTGTCATGGATTTTAGTAAGTGTGTATATGACCATGAGGAAGAAGAATATTGGTTATTGGCATGGAGTAATATGCTCCAGAAGCATAACTTGACAGAGGATAAATGGTTGAAGAATTTGTTTGAGCTGAGAGAAAAATGGGCAATGGTATATGGACGTCATACTTTTACAGCATATATGGTGAGCACACAACGTAGTGAAAGTATGAATAATATTTTGAAAAAATACTTGAAGCATAGTTATAACTTGTTGCGCTTCTTTGAACACTACGAGAGAGTGTTGGAGGATCGACGATATAAGGAATTAGTTGCTGATTTCAATATGATGCATACCTTGCCGGTATTATGTGCTACTGTAGAGATGTTGCAACATGCAGAGGAAGTGTATACACCTGAAATTTTTAGCTTGTTCCAAAAACAATACATAGTTATTGGTGATTATGTTGCCAACAAGGTTAGTAAGTCTGAGATGGTATATGAACATAAAGTATCTTATCGTGGTGTAGCACAAGAGCATTTGGTTAATTATGATGTTGCAAACGAGACGATATGTTGCAGTTGCATGAAGTTTAGTTTTGCCGGGATTTTATGTCTTCATGCATTGAAAATGTTGGACAAGAAGAATGTTAGAAGAATCCCATCTAACTACATTCTAAATCGATGGAGTAAAGAGGCAAAAGCACGAAAAATATCTTATTATCATTCAGAGCCACGTAATGAAACAGTCAAAGAATCGATTGGAAAGCGATATAGACATCTATGTCGTACTTTCCGTGATATTGCATCTGTTGCTGCTGATCATATAGAATTGAGATATTGCATCTGTTGCTGCTGATCATATAGAATTGACGTTGTGTCCAAATAAAGAATCTATTAAGTTACTCAAAAAATTGGAGGACCGAAAAAAAGAGCTTCTAAAATCTAGTGCATGGATTGTTCAAACTTCAGATGAAGAAGAAGAAGAAGAAG